CTGAAAGCTCAGAGGCCGGCAAGGCATGCGGGGAACATTGGATTCCTCCATCACTGAAGCAAGCAAGCCTCCTGTTCGCTTCAAGCTGCCTGGCTTCCGGCCGCCATTTTGGCTGGCAGTTAATTTGCATATCGCCCTGATTAGCCAATGGGAAGGGTAGCGGAGGTATGGCTATTTACCATGTTTCTCTATTATTAGATAGGATAGATAAAGCATCCTTTCTTCATGTGAGGATGGATCAAGAGATGCCACAGGAAAGGGGAACAGTCAGGAGGTCTCTCATGGGGCTCAGAACTGGCCTCAACCACTCTTTTCCTGCTGCTCTCCTTATATCAGTCTCACATGGCAGCCCAAGCAATTTCCCAAAGTCATGCTCATGTCACTGTCCTGCTTAAAGCCTTTCAATGGATCGCCCTACCTTTAGGATAGAGCAGGGGTCTTGCAAGAGTGACTTTGGGCACTGAAGTGCATCCAAGTGTCTCTTGCACTAAAAGGGAACCCAGATAAAAATTTGAATATGTGAAAGTAACCCGAGAAGGAACTGGCTCGCAGATGTTCCTCGCTAAAATGAATGGATGGTCCAAGCACATTGTTCAACTCACCTTTGAGACCTGAGATTGAGCACCTTGAAGGAAGGAGCCAGGTCTTATTCTCCCCAGACTTATAGCAATGTCTGGTCTAGAGTGATTGTAAGAGAGGCCAAAGGCTACATTTGGAGACAGGCAGCTTGAGGTCATATTTTTTTGCTACCTATTAGGGCTATGACCTTGTGCAAGTCTAGGGTTCAGTGTATCAATAGCAGTGACCTTCTAAAAGCGTTTGTATTTCTGGAACTCTTATATTGTATAAGGAATTATTTCATCCACTAACAATATACAAATGGGCTGTATTGTAGTCAAGATTATTATTGTTAAATTTCTTTAATGCCTAGGTTTGAAACTTCTAAAGGTAATTCAATTTGAAATTCTCGTTGCTCTACCGTTTCTTGCACCTCCTATTTGTGGATAGTTTTCTAATGAATGTTTCAAAAGCAATAACAATGTTTCAAAACAATAATCACCTACTTTAAAAAGTAAAAACCTCTTTTTTAACTTAATTTTTTATGTCTCAGTTTAGTTGCCTTTAATGTTTCACTCCCTCCATCTCTCTAGAGCAGCCGTGGGCAAACTACGGCCCACGGGCCGGATCCGGCCCGTTCGGCTGTTCCATCCGGCCCGCGGAGCCGAAAGAGCAGAGGGTTTTCTTGCTGTTTACTTTGAATTTATATATATTGGGCTGTTTTGTAATTTGTTTTGTTTTCCCAAAAAGGACAATCTCTGGGCATATTGCTAAGCACAACCCCCTGGGGTCCTCTTGTAGAGAACACCCAGTGATCTCAGGGTAAACCATTTCTTCCCAGCATCGCTCGCTGTGGCCGCATGTTACCATTTTGGAAACATGAATCGATTAATCTGCTTAAAGTAGTTGACACTCTACCCAGAAAAATGCAGGCAAAATTTTGCATGCACTATTTTCCCCAGAGAGTTTATGGACCTGATAAAATCCACCGGCAGTAGCCTTAAGGATGAGTGGTCTCAGTTTGAATCCCAACATAAAACATTAATTACAAAAGCTTACTATATGCTCCTCCAACTCATCCAGCTTCCAGATGGACTTACATTTTCTATGGGGGAAATTTGGCGCCACTGAAGGGACTCAACTTGTACTGGTGGAAATTTCTTGTCAGGCTTTAGCAACAAGCATGCAGTAGAGAAATTTTGGGCCAGGGGCAAGCCATTATTTACTATTTGTTTATCGTGTAGTATACCTACTTTTTTAAAAAAAATTTCAAACACAATTATGGCTCCATACCATCACAGCCCAAACCCTTATATCAAAGATTTAATAGCTGGGATCCTGTTTGTATGCCAGAATCATAAACATAAAACAGAGATTACCCAACGATTAACACAGTGATGTTTTACAGGATGAAAACTCATATTATATCAATGAAGTGGGAGCCTATTTGACCATCTCAAATCCAGGTAAGAAGCTAAAGAAGACTGGTCTACCAGCAAGGACACTGGTTCTGGTTAGCTCATTCTTCATCCCCTTGAATTCTTGAGTCTTTGATGCCGCTTTTGAGAAACAGTCTGAGAGAGTAGCCCACAATGGTTATAATTTTGGGGGAACTTCGTACCTCTTTGCGTACTTCAGTTTGCTCATCTGCTCACAAAGGAGGTTGGACTACATTATGTCAGAAATCATTATCAGTGACTGTTAAGAGCATAGTGACTTTGGACAAACTTGTTGTTGATGGTGCAGTTTATTCTATATTCTTGTAATCATGCATTCATACCACAAAAATGTAGTTAGTGCCAGCTAGTGCCAAGCCCTGGAATACAGTGGGAATCCATTATTATCTAAGCGTATCATCTCTGCTCTCAGGGAACTTTCATTCCAGAAGGGGAGAGAGGACCGTAAACAGACACATTAAATTATAATACACAGTTAAGTAGTGATAAGTTCTATGAGCAAAACACAAGCAGGGTGGGGTGGGGAGGACTGGGAAGTTACTTAGCAAGGGCCTTTGGGGAGCCCTCTGGGGAGGAAGGCCTCTCTGAACAGGTGAGGTTTGAGCAGAGGAATATGGGGACTTCTGGGCCTGGGGGAGCTCTTTCCAGCTGGTGGGAACAACGGGTTCCCGGGCCTGAGGAGTGAACATGCTGGTGTGTTCAGGGACCAGGAGAGACCAGTGAGCAAAGCAGCAGATGAGGTGGGAATGGCAGCCAGGCCAGGGCAGGCAGGGCCTGTGGGCAAAGCAAGGCGAGGACTGTGGAGTTTATCCTAAAGTGTGAAAGGATGCCATTGGAGCGTTTGGTGTAGAAAAATGGCGTATCAGATTTACATGTCTAAAGGTTCACCTGGTTGCTGTATGGAGAGTTGCCCAGTGGAACACATTGAGAGGACTTGTATAATGTTTGCTCCTAGAAAAGCAATGCTCCCAATCAAGCCAGGGCGTTTCTCAGAGGCCTCAGCTGTGTCTCTGGAAAGCCAGGTTTATATAGGGTGTCCCAAAGTTCACGCAAGATTTGCAATTCAATTCAATTGCAAATCTTGCGTGAATTTTGGGACACCCTATGTAAAAAAGATCATTAGTGAGCACCTCCTCTGTGCAGGTACTGTACTAAGAGTTTTCATGTCTGATTTCTCCTTTTGAACATTCTATGATCTTAGTAAGGAACTTATACTAAAGAGCCATGCCAAGAAGTGAAAATGTGGAGAAATGTCTATTTCATTTATTAATCAATTTATTTTTTAAACCTCACCCAAGGATATCTTTTCCCTTGATTTTATAGAGAGCGTGGAAGGGGTGAGAAGAGAAGGGGAGAGAGAGAGAGAGAAATCAATGTGAGAGAGACACATTGATTGGTTGTCTCCCGCTCACACCTGGACCAGGGTGGGGATGGAACCTGCAACTGAAGTATGTGCCCCTGGCTGGAATCAAACCATGACTCTTTGGTCGGCAGGCTGACACTTTAACCACTGAGCCAAACCTGCCAGGAAAAGAAATGTCTATTTTAAATATTAGCTATATTATATTGATATTGTTCAGGAGGGTGTGGTCAATGGTTATGGGTAAAATGTAAGTCGGATGTCTCAGTCAATAACTCACTTTCACATACATTACCTCGCTTAGACGAGTATACTCATATAGGCTGGGAATAAATACTGTGACTGCTAAGATAAATTAGCTAATGTTATCACTAGGCATGGACCAAATTTTAGCCAATAATAGGGTAGTAATGTCTCAAGAGGCAGGGGAAAGGAAAGTAAGGCCAGAAAGTAATTTAGAGCCCGAGGGAGGAGATAAAACAACTCTGGGTCTAATAAGCAAGGCTCAGCAGTAGCACTGGAGCTGTACCCGTATGATATCACAGTAATGATGATGCTCATGTAGGTGGTGGCGGGACTATTAGTAAGAGTAATTAGTTGTAATGACCATTGTAATGTCAGCAGGGGGCGGCTAGTAGTAGCCTACCCTGGGATATAACACATGATACAGCAGTGTACACATGTAAGACATTTGCAGGTACAAATGCAAGAGTCTACAGTAACTGCAAACAGGGCACCAGAAAAAGTCCCCGAAATGCAGGAGAGTGGTGATTTTTCATGAGGAGAAGGCAGGACTCCAGAAAGCCACACCTAAGGAAGGCCATTTAACTGTACCCGGCCCACCCAGCAATAGCTGGGACTCAATAGATAGCATGCTGAGATTCTTACATGCCTCTATTTCACCTTTACTTTCAGAGAAAATTTACCAAGGAATGAAGAGCTCTGCGATGATGTTTGAGACGGTGATCGGGCATTCCTTCAAGTGTGTGACTGAGCAGAGCATCCAGCTGTCAGCCCACCTTCAGCTGAAGACAATGAATGTCCAACTTCAAGCCTTCGATTTCGAAGATGACCACTTTGGAAATGGTAAGTTAAGGGTTCGCCATGTCACAAACATAAACTTCAGAGACCCATGGGTAGTGTCAAGGTATTTTTGTTTGTTTGTTATTTTTGTCTGAAGCTGTCAAAGGGACAAGAATCACATGAGCTTTCTACAACAGTATGATTCCACAAAGCTCTTAGGGCCAACCCTCCCTCCTACCATCTTTCTATGAGTCAATACCAACCACAGAACCAGAAACCTTAAGCCACTCATGTCTACTGCTGTCCCATAGCAGAATATATTGTCCTTGTCTGAGTCATTTAAACACACACACACACACACACACACACACACACGCCAGAAAACACCATCTTCAACCTCCCCTTTATAAGCTGTTGAGTACTAGGAAACTCAGGTGTGTTTGGAGAACACTTTAAAGATCCTGAGTGTTAGTGATGTCTAAAATTCAAGATTTCAGAATAGATTCTTTCCCACTTACAGAGGGAAAAGAGAAAAATGCATGATCCAAGATAGACATGTACTCGGTTGGACCCCCTCTTCCCAATTGCACACCATTTCCTCATAGTTAGTGTTACTTTCCATGTAACTTCTGCTTTGAGTTTTAACCACCGCAGAGGGAAGCAGGTTCTAGAAGGAAGGCCAGGGACAGACCAGGGTAACTTTCCCCAACAGCCCCTTTTTGCTGGAAAAACAGTGTTACAAGGATTTCTACATATGTCCAGGCATTGAACTTCAGTTTCTGAAACGCGCCCCCTCATAATAACTCACGTGTAAATGCTCAGCCTGGTCACAGAGAATAGTCATCCCGAACAGTGGGCTCCTAACTCCCACATTCTCACCCCCTCCTCCCTCAAATCCTGGAGCCCCAGGCTGTCCAGCGGCCCCGCTAAGAAGCACAGAGTTTGAATGGGAAACTTGGGCCGTGTGATTTGGTGCACATCCCTGTCTCCAGAGTTGAGAACCATGGGTCCAGGGCTTACCGTAACTTGGGAGTCAAGATACAGTTCTGCTCCTGGCCCTCTAGACCAGTGGTTCTCAACCTTCCTAATGCCACGACCCTTTAATATAGTTTCTCATGTTGTGGGGACCCCCAATTTCATTGTTACAAATTGAACATAATTAAAGCATAGTGATTAATCACAAAAACAATATGTAATTAGATATGTGTTTTCTGATGGTCTTAGACGACCCCTGTGAAAGGGTCGTTCGACCCCCAAAGGGGTCACGACCCACAGGTTGGGAACCGCTGTTCTAGACCACACCAATGCTCCTCCCAGTTGGATCTGCCTCCTAGCTGCATCAGAATGACCTGGCCCCACCTCAACTCACTGAATCATAATTTCTTGGGCCCCACAGTCAGACCATTGTGCTGACCCTTCCCCTCCTGCTTTGCACCCATCAGTAGGTCGGAGGCAGCAGGTGGGAGACCCAGCAGCTCCCTCCCTCCCTTGGTCTCCTTCTCTGCAAAGCGGAGGCAGGCAGGGGCAGGATGGATCCCAGCGTCCTGCTAGCCTGTAACACCTGTTCCTCTGACTTCAGTTACAGTGGACGAGTGCTTCAGAGACAAAAACAAGAGAGAAATCCCTGTGGCCGTGGGTCTGAGTATCGCAGGACTGCTTGGCATTCTGCTAACAGCATGCCTGGTGGCCAGAGAGAGGCCCGGTAGAGGATATGAACGCATGTGAAACCCCTGCTCCTTCAGAATGTGTGGAGTTAAGGCTTGGGAATTCTGGCTTCATATTCAGCCTAAAGTGAAGGGCTTGACTCTTCTAGTTGCCTCTCCCACCCTCCCCGTCTGATTAGGAAACCCAGCTTTCCACCAAAAGGCCACCCAAAGGCTGGCTAAAATGCAGCCTCTCCTGCTTTCTCCTGTGAGTGTGGGGAGGCCGGGCCTCATGGGCTCGAATTCCATCCTCCACACCTGGTAATGTGGGCCTGGCGGTGACAAGCCCATTGGGAACAAGCCGCAGGGACACGCGTGGGGTGCGTGCGAGGACAAAGCAGACACCCAAAGGGAGAGCTGTGGGAAGGACACCTTCGTATTGCATTGCTTTTTCTTATACGTTTTTAAGAGTCTCACTACCCAGTATTTTTTATGCATATTACCTTTTTACAAAAACAGCCCATTTCAAAATACACTCTAAACTGATTTTAAACTCCTGGTTTTGCCCAAATTTTGATTTACTTAAATTACAGATAGTCTTAATAGACTATCATTTTTAAAAAGACATCTTTTGCACTACTGTAATGTACTATTCATTAAAAACTAGAAAACTTTCTAACTTTTCATTTTTAAAAAAATGTACAATGTGTACTAAAGACCTTGGCAAACAAAAGAAGCTCAATAAATGTTAGTTCTTTAATTCCTTCACCTCCATTTGTTGTCTGTCTTCTTAACACGTTTTTTCTCTGCTTTGTCTCTATTTTTCTTATTCTAGTCTATCCTCAGAAATCGGTTGATTTGGGCCATTGTGGGGGTGGGGTGGGGGACCAAGCCTGAAAACAATGAGAACTGGCCAGCAGAAGAGGTAGATCTACCCAGATTGTGTCCCACTTCCCTTTTTTTAGCAAACATTTACCAAAAAAAAAAAAAGAGTTATAAACTGGGAAATTCCTGGTTGGGAGTGATTGCTATCTGGAGGGAAAGTTCTATTAAAATAAGGCTCGGCATGTGGTTCCCGGTTTTCTATTACGTGGTCTGTTTAAACAGGAGAAGTGGGGTTTTTATTCTAGAGAAAGAGGCGAGTCATGGCCGTCTGGATGTTCGCCGCCTTTACTAACAGGAAGTGTCTTGTTTTGCTACACTTTCCAAAGGTGCTATTCATTCCTCTTCACAGCAGGTTTATGAAAGTTGGCAACAACTCCACAGCCACTGTTTATCTAGGACGTGTGCCTTCCCTGGAGGTGTTTCAGCTCTCTCCACTTCCCAGAAGTGAGGCAGTGGGGAGGGCACGCAGCAGCCTCAAGGAGGTTCGAGAGCCCCGGACAGCGTCAGGAGTGTCAGGAAGTCCTTTAGAGCAGGAGATGTTGGTGAAGAATCGGGGCTGTGAGGACCCGGTGTTCTCCAAAGTGACTCGGGTTCAACAGCCAGGGCTTGGCTTTGGAGAGATGCCATCCATCTCTCTCCATGTGCCCCTTGTTGGATCCCATTTCCGGTCCTGCCTCAGGTGGCCTTGAAGCTCCCATACTGCAGAACACGAGGTGTTGATTCAGCCTGCCACTAACCAGAGTGACTAACAGGAGGTTCATCTTCTAGTGTGTCCAAACGTCTCCACAGCGGATGGAATTAAGGCCCCATACTGCAGAGCACGAGGTGCTGATTCAGCCTGCCACTAACCAGAATTACTAACAGGAGGTTCTTCTTCTAGCGTGTCCAAACGTCTCCACAGCGGATGGAATTCAAATCGAGAGGAGAGGGACAAGAGAGCACGCTCACTTAGGTTTAATTTTTCCTTTCTGTCATCTGTAATGAGTTCTTTGAGGTGATGACTGCTGTTATCTACCTGACCCAACTCCCCCAAACTAATTACCCATAAAATTATTTACATTTGTAATGAGTTCTTTGAGGTGATGACTGCTCCTTAGACTCCTGTTATCTACCTGACCCCACTCCCCCAAACTAATTACCCATAAAATTATTTTGAAGTAACATTCTAGTCATCAGAAAGAACAAAGGTTTCATTTGAATAACTAGTAAATATCGGTATCCCCTTCCCCACTTGGGTGCTGGGGGTGGGGTCCTTACGATAGCTCAAGAAAAAGAATTTTCTGAGATGTGCACGGGAGGATGAGTGATTTTTATTTGCATGGAAGTAAATCCCTGGGTTTCCCAAGGCCAATT